ATGTTCAACACTCGGGGTCGCACACCTGACAGATGGCGTCGCCATCGCATCCTTCTGCACAAAAGCACTTGTTCGTTTCGCAACTTTCGCGTGTCTATATTCGTTCCCTCTACTTCCTCTTGTTGTAATCGTATCTCGTTATTAAGCCCACCTACCCCCGCAGTGCGGAGGTGTGAATCCTAAACGAACACTCACCCTCACCGCACGCGGCCTGCCTGCCATGAACGGCATTCACTTCTGGTAGTGACCTTCAAGCATCATAACAAACTCGTGAGTGTGATTTCTCTTATGCTGTCACCAACGCGCCAGTCTCAACCCACGCAACCATGCTGGACCGCGAAGCCGTCGTCAAGCTCAAGCGGTCCGTCAGTGATGGGGACCACCTCATTCCGGTGGGCGAGGTCATCCCGCCCCGGTCGCTGGGAAAGCAGACACCAACCCCAAAGACTCGATCAGATCGCCCCTTCTCATGGCAAAAGCTAACCGACTCAATCAAAGGCCGAAGGGACTCATCCTTCCGCTCCTCACGCTCCTCGCGCTCTTCTCGCACATCTTCGATTGACAGACGCGAGATATCGGGCCCCATATTGGATGTCAGAAGTCCGTTGTGTCCGCCCACCCCGAAACCATACACCTCGATACCAAATAGACCTGCCGCGCAGTCGAATCCGGGTACTTCCAGACCCTCTTACTTCACTCCCTCATCAAAGCACTCGCATTCTGCCTCAGACCCCACTAGTTATAATTCCCCTTGTAGACGTGTGCCGTCGACCGGCTATCCGCCTCCACCGCTGCCCATTACCACCAGCTTTGAGAGTACAACGAGCACATTGGTAGAAAGTCCATTGGAGCGCATAGCGGAATCGCCTTTCGAGCCTTACGAAAGCTGCGCAACTGGAATCGTGGAACAAGACCGATCATACATATATTCAGAAGGAATGGAACCTGTAAGACTGCAACCGCCCAACATGGGTGGCACCAAGGGACGCGCCATGCAACAAGCCAGGGACATGGAGGCACTGGTTGCCGAGAGGGCTAAACGGAGTGGCGAAGAGCCTCCGCCATATGACTTCTACGAGCTCATCGGCAAGGGTGCATATGGTCGTGTGTACAAAGGGTGGGTATCTCAATGCATCACCAGGAACGTGCGCTAACATTGCCAAGAAAGAGCCGCAACACTGGTGCCCTGGTTGCTATCAAGATTATCGAAATTGACAAGGTCGACTACGAGGAGATGACACACAAGAATCTTCAAGACACTCTGAAAGAGATTGACATTCTGCAGCAGCTGAGAGATAGTAAAGCAAGACCCTACGTCAACATCATTGAGGAAGCAAGGCCTGTTCACAACGAGTTGTGGATCATAAGCGAATACGCCAGTGGTGGTAGTGTGAATACCTTGATGAAGCCCACTGCCATGAGCAAGGATCCAGGCCCTGGACTGGCTGAGAAATTCATCATACCCATCGCCCGCGAACTAGCACAAGGCCTCAAGTATATACACGAAGCGGGTGTGCTGCATCGAGATCTAAAGTGTGAGTATAACATCTTGGCTGTCTACGGCATGCGCTGACCAAATCGTAGCTAACAATGTTCTCATTCTCGAGGATGGCCGAGTGCAACTATGTGATTTCGGTGTCTCCAACACGTTAGAGCCCGAAAGATCAAAGCGGTCGACCATTGTCGGCACACCTTTCTGGATGGCCCCTGAACTTCAAAGAGAGTGGGTCAAGGATGCCGACCCACACAGTTTGCTCCAACCAAGGGAGATTTCTTACGGTAGCGAAGTTGACATCTGGGCATATGGCTGTACTGTGTACGAGATGGCTTGCGGCTTCCCACCACATCATAAGATCGGACACTTTGATCTGCCAACGGCTGGAGTCCCTCAGCTTGAAGGAGACCGTTTCTCTCAAGAGCTGAAGGATTTCCTTGCTTTCGTCTTCAAGCCCGAGCCGCGAGATCGTCCTACACCAGACCAAATTCTGGAGCACCCTTACCTTGCTGATACCACCAAGATGTATCCGACTGTGTCACTTATCAAGTTGGTTGAAGAGTATTACATCTGGGAGCAACAGGGTGGAGCTCGCCAGTCGTTATTCAATCCATATGGCGCGCAGGCACCTGATCCCTTGGCCCCGGAGGCTGAGGATGATGATGACGATGACTGGTCTTTCAGTACTTCCGAAGCGTTTGAACAAGAGCATGCCACGCATTTCACAGACCCATTTGCCACCGGATCCGGACAGCCCCTGGGCCGTTTTGAACAATTGCAGGCGAGGTTCAAGGAGGAGTCTATTGTGAGGGGCCAGAGACGCTTGAATAAGATTTTCGACCCAAACACGACACCATACCGGTACAGTGCAGTTGATGCACCAGACCCTCCTAACGGCAGGCCACCTTCAGATCTGATTTTGCGCGATTTTAATCCCGGGGCACCCAACCGTGAGACTGTTATTGACTTGGATTATTCACTTCCATCAACAGATGAGGTGCCGAGTATTGATCTGGGAGAAGTGCCAACCATTCGAGCAATTCGTATGAAGAGCCTTCTGCGGGAGTTGGAAGAAGAAGAACTTCGAGATGCTTTCAACGAAGAAGACGAACTGACTAAACGAGCAACAAAGGACTGGACATTCCCAAGCATGAATGAGGATCCGAATCGAAAGACAATGGAATGGTCCTTTCCCTCTGAACAGCCGAATCGGAAGACAATGGAGTGGTCATTTCCCGCCGAGCAACCCAACCGTAAGACGATGGAATGGTCGTTTCCAGCTCAGCCCCAAAAGCCAAATCGACGTACAGTGGAATGGACATTCGATGCAGCAATGGCTGAAGCCAATAATGAGGCTCCTAGGAACCGTGCGTCAAACCGCATATCCCGTCGACGGGAGACAAAGGAATGGACATTTCCTAAGATGGACGACAATCGTAAAACTCAGGACTGGACATTCCCTAAGATGGACGATAAACGAAAAACTGAAGAATGGACATTTGATCTGGGCAGTCCACAAGAGCCACAGTACGGCAGATCCAACAAAGCGGATCCTTCATCACCGACTTTCAACTCCAACTTCCGTCCTAGCCTGCGACACGTACAAACCACTGCGCTTGCACCTATAGACGACTATCCTGAAATGATCAGCTCTGCGCCTGGATCACCACTTCGTTCATCCATGATCGATCTGGACATGGCTATGGTTCAAGACTACCGTCCGTCTACGTCGGGTTCTGAGACAAATACGGCAGGAGCAGAGCGTATCAACGACAACCCCTTCAACCTTGAAGACCAGGTTCAGCTCTCTCAAAACAACCACCGCGCATCGTTCCATACGAAATCGCAATCTGAGCCTAACCACGCAGTGCCAGGCCTGTTGACACCTCAGCAATATGATGAACAAGGCCAGCCAACGAACCAAGACCTGCATCACACAGCTTTGCACCTACGGGGTGTAAGCTCAGCAAGCCAGGTGCATGCGCCGTCTAAGCCAGGAGCCAACAATTTTGGAGGGGGGCAATATCACCGAAGTAACCAACGCTCACAGCAAGTCATCTGGGACGGTTGGTCGCATAATATGGCATATGGCGTGAGCAGCGATGATCAATCTCCCCCTATGAGTGTGACAACAGACACTTCACTGGAAGAAGAAGATGTCGACGAGCTCTGGGATGCTTTTGAGCGACTGAACCTCGCGCCACCGCAGCAGCGAAGCTATGGTAGTGTTGGGCTCCGACCAGCTCGCAGAAACGACTCGACGTCGACATCGTTGACATCGACTACATATGCGCTTGACTCGGACACGGACGACACGTACAACCCTTACAATTCCTCGTCAGAGTTTGACCACGACAATCAGCAACAGCAACAGAGCAATTACCGCAAGAGCACTACGGTCAGCGTAGGACCGAATGGCAAGCCGCTTGTCGACTTCCCGATTCCAAGGGGCCCAGACGTTGAAGCGTTGCTGGGCGTGGATGTGGATGCGCGGGTAATGCAGGACATGCTACTCAAGAGCGCCATGGAACTGAGGGATGGTACAAGGGCGGGTAGGGATCTGCTGCGGGCCATGCGGTTGCAGGACGTAGGAGACCCTGAGGAGGAGGAGGATGAAGAGACGAGGAACAACACAGTGAGGCTTCGGGGGATATAATGGCGTGCTTGGTTCTTGAAGCGATGAACTATTGACTATTGACTAATGGGCGTTTGGAGAACCAAGGAGCCGTGTGGAAGACCCGGTGTGTCTCTTAGGTCTCTGGGCTTTTGTTGGTTGCAAAGGGGTTGCTTCTTCTCCTTTTCCCCTTGCTCAGATTCGCACTCTATGATAGCAATGGGCATATATGGAAAACACACGTACAAACACACGAGTAATACATTAACATGTACATGATTTGAATTGGCTCAGAACGCTTGGAAATTGATCATATGCCTTTGAGGCTACTACGGTACACTAGACAGGGGATGTAAGATCCGAATAAAAAACACTAGTCCTCCACTTTGTTCGCTGGCAGCTCCCCTCCTTATATGTGTGGGTGTGGGTGTTTGTATGTGTGTATGTATATATACTACATCGATCCAATGGCTCATGTACAATGACATTACAGCCGCAAGCCTGCTCCCTCTCGTCCCATCCCCATCTGCTTGCCCCCACGCTCCCAAAGCCAAGACGCGGAAAACGAGAAAAACAAACAAACAGAAGCCGCCGAGATGCTGTGTTCCCAATATATCCTTAGAAACCTACTATGCAGTAAACTAAATAAAGAGTCCAGGGAACATGCTCTCGTGTGCTCGGTGACTTGAATAAGAGGAATGAACATGCCTGCATTGGAGGAGCAGAGGGTGAGGGACGTTAGGGTCGAGGAAATTCAAGACTCCTACATGGTGCAAGGGTGAACGATGGCGCACAAAAAGATCCAGAGGGGGGTATGGGCGTATTCGTTAAGAGACGTGAAAAATCGAGGTCCGAAAACAAATCACGTGTTGCAAGACGTGTCAATGACAACTACCGAGTGCCGGCTTCAAGCTGACCTGGGGTAGGCTGCTGGGTGGCTGTGGAAGTATTTACATTGTTGGAAGCGCTCCTGTCACGGTTGAACCAGCGGGAGAACATGGGAGCACGTGGTTGACTGGGCGTCGTTCGTGAGAACCAGCTGGAACCCTGTCTTGGTTGAGCAGTCCCCTGCTGCGATTCCGCTGAAACCGGGTGGCTACGCCGGCTCGACAGTCCAAGTCGTCCTAATCGCTGGGGACTAGGTTGTTGGTTGGGATCGGCATTGATAATCAGTATTTGAGTACGGGAGAAAGGGTTGGCTGATGTCCAAACGGCCTGTTGTGGTGATCTGGGACCAGCAGCTGAACGACGGCCAGTAGCCGGATCAGCTTCACCTTCCGGGCGAGGTTTAGGCACGTAGTAGTCAGCCTTGCAGAGCGGGCAGCATGCGCGACGACTTGTCAGCCATGGGTCAACACAGCTAGCGTGGAAGGCGTGGCCGCAAGCTAGCCCTCTCACATCTTCGTCGTCCTCTAGGAGATCTATACAGATGGCGCAAGTGTCGCCAGGGTCAGAGAGCAACTCTGGTGCAGTCGCAGTGCGGATTGGGTCATCGTCATCGTCATCCGAGTCATCGTCATGCTCGTGCACAGTCGCTTGCGGTGCAGCACCATGCTCTGGGCTCTCCTTTGGTTTTACTGGGACTGGACTGTCCTTTTCAATCTGCTTCTCAGAGTCATGCATCTTCTCGCCTTTTGTGCTTTCGACGCTTGATCTTGGAGACGCCGTTTGCTGCGAAGTCGAGTTTTGCGCAGCATGGTCGTTGCGGGCCATGGAAAGCGCCGTCTCTGTTCGAGGCCCTGGTCCCTCGTCTTGGGAAGTGGCGGCAACTTCGACATCCTTGATGCTCGCGGCCCTGCTCTGGGGTGCTGTTGAAATACCACCGTTGGATGGCAGCCCCTCAGTTTCACGGCTCGATTTCCATTGCTTGTACTTGGTCAGTGGGAAGCGCTCATTAACTTCGTCCATGGTCATTAGTTTCTTTTCCCTCCTCCTTCGGTGGGGGCGAGGCATATTAGCCATATCAATCTCTGTACTGGCGGCAGTTTGGGCTGCGCGTCGACGGTTGTAGCGGAAACAGTACTTGACGCCTACAATGATCCTAGTGGACATGTCAGATAAGTGGAGGCGAATGCTGTCAGTGGGCGGGGCCTACCATAGGTTTGTAAAGACGACACCGAAACCGAGGGCGACAAAGAAAAGCAGCGGCGAACTGGTGGGACCACCTCCGCCGTTGTTTCCGTTGTCATCATTGTTGGGCGGCCTGGTCGAGCTGGGCTGGCTGGGGAAGACGGTAGTGGTTGACATTGTGAGATGCGAAGAGATTTAGTGTCTCATGAGTGGGCGTGGATATGGCCGTGCAGACAGCGAGTTGAGGTGGTCAGCCAGATTGGGAAGGCACTTCAGTGGATGCGAGCGTTGGGACAGGACAGAGTCGCGTTTTTCTCCAGGCGATGCAGTGGGGCGGGAAATGCGATGTTGCGGGGAGAGAAAGGTGGAGAGAGTGGGCGGTGGTGACGACGGCAGCAGCAAGGGCGAGAAGTGGCGACAGAGTTGGCTACAGCGAGGCGGCGCAACTGAAGCTGTGACAGTGACTGCGGGATGCCACGATGGCTAGCGGTGAATGGGGAGCAGAGGTGAGTCGGCCATGCGATGCAGAGGGCGCGGGAGGTAGGTGGTGTTTGGCGAGGCGTAGAGGCTGGGGCTGAAGAGAATGGAACGGACAGTGAATGGGATCGTCGGGTCGGGCGTGGCACTTGGGACGGGCGAGGCTTATGGCAGGCGGATAAAGGCCGCAAAAGACGTCGCTAATGCAGAGGGCAGGTGCCAAGGCAGCCGGGCACAACCACTCCCGGCACTGTACTCGTAACCCTCACGCCTGCCCGAATCGTCTGCCCAAAGACAAAGGGCGTTTGTGTCTTGTCCTCCTCCATGCAAAACACTCCCTTGGATCCAACAACAGCCAGCGCGCCGGCAATCCACGTCTGTCATGCCGTGCGTATTGCCGTTGTTCGTCAATGCACATGCGCCATATCGCGGTATCGCACTCCAGGCACTGCGCCCCCAAACCCTGCGTTAATGTCGCATGCAGGTGCCATTTCCCATCCAGCACATGGCTGACACCGACATGCACCCCAGGCACATCCTCTCCTTAATAACACGGACATGCCATGTAGGCGCACGCTCATCTGTCAACCGGCGCCTTTGCACGCCCGTCTGGTGACTGCGTATCCACGCCGACATCCCTGCCGGAGCTGCTGTCGCGGGTGGAGTCTTCCCCAGCGCTAGAGGCGGCGACAATCGCATCCACCAGGCCCTGCACGAGCTTATCCAGCGCTAGCTGCGTCGGTACTGCACTGCACCATACCTACATTTGCACACCCAACTCTCTTCTCTGCTCCCGCCAATTGCACCGCCACAACCATGGCAGACACTACCGAGCCCAATCCAGTCGTCTTCTTCGACATTACCCTAGGAGGTATGCCTCCACCAGTTTGCCCGCGTCGCCCTTGTCCAGCTGCATGCACCCCTACACCCGCAGCAAAATGACTGACATAAGCATCCAGGCGAGAAGCTGGGCAGAATCAAGATGGAGCTGTTCAAGAATATCGTTCCTAAGACTGCCGAGAATTTTCGACAGTTCTGCACGGGCGAAACCAAGAACAATCGCGGACAGCCCCAGGGCTACAAGGGCTGCAAGTTTCATCGTGTCGTATGTTTCGCTTTGCGCGCTTGCATACCCGTTTGCATCCGTGCTTGCTTGCCGCATTACTAACAGCATTAGATCAAAGGCTTCATGATCCAAGGCGGAGACTTCATCAATGGCAACGGTACAGGCTCAAGGACCATTTACGGCACAGAGAAATTTGCCGATGAGAACTTCACTCTGCAGCACGACAAGCCCGGTCTGCTGTCAATGGCAGTAAGTTGTGTGTGTGCACCATTTCAAACTACGTAGCTCTAACAATGCACAGAACAGCGGGCCCAATACCAATGGCTGCCAGTTCTTCATCATCACCGCTAAGAACGGTACTCCTCATCTGAATGGAAAGCACGTAGTATTCGGCAATGTGGTAGAGGGCATGGATGTAGTGACCAAGATTGAGAATACGCGGACCCTCGCAAACCCAGAGGGGAAGCCTGTGCAGGACATTGTCATTGCTCAGTGCGGTGAAATGTAATTGTCTGCATTGATGAGACGACACGATCATTATGTATTAGTGGCTCAGTGAACCATAGTAGATGCGCCCAGTCTGTGCTTATATAATCAACCGACCCGCTGAAATTCTCTCGGGCCTAGCCGCAGTCGCGTGCAATCACCACCACCCCCGCCCCTCGCTGTACTTTTTTTGCCAACACACGCCAAGTATACACGCGCTGGATACACGGTCTTCTGCTCCAATGTGAAAGCTTGTGCCAGTCGCTTTGTAGTCGCCATGGTCTCACTTGCCTCGAATCCCCACTCGCCGCTCGTCGTCACCCCAGGCACGGGTGGCAGCAGCCTCAAACGCAAACAATCCGACCACTCGTCCGACGCCGAGACCACGGCCTCAGGCCAGTTAAAAAAGCGCAGAGTCACCTTCCACCCCGAAGTCGATGTGCATGTACTGCGCGAGTACAATGAGAAGAGCGCAGAGCTGGTGGGGGAGGAGGTGCGTCGGGCCATGGAGAAGCATGCCACAGGCGAGAAGGCAGCATACGACGGACTCCGAGCCCTCTTCAGGGAAGCACCCACCTCAGCCAACGCGCCATCCTCGCAACTCCTCCAAAAGTACCTCGTTGCTCTCACTGGCCACACGCCGCAGCTTGACCACAACTGTAAAGGTCTAGTCCATGCCGTCATCGACTGCAGTTGGGTCGCCCGCAATGAAGACTTTGTGCGCTCCTATCGCAATTTCCTGCGCTCCCTGCTCTCAGTACAGTCTGGCTACGTGTCAACTGTGCTGCAGATGCTTGTCGACATGTTCCTCGACCTGCCGTCAGTAAACGCTAGGCAGCACGACGACCCCCCAATCCAGCGAGTTCGCCTGCTGGCACGCGTCCACGAGACTCTAATCTTGATACTTCGATACACCCCCATGGTCAGCTCCTACTTGGCCCCCATTATCGCCAGCACATTTCCCTTTTCCAATGAGAGTGCCAAGAAGCACGCTGAGTACATCCGGAACATATACCAAGTCGCCGAATACGCCCCAGAGATCCGAGGCGAGGTCCTCACGCTAGTGACAGACAAGCTATGCAAAATCGACGCGCAGATGCAGATGGACATGGAAGACATAGACGACGATCTGGAGGAGCGGCTTGTGGGCGACGCTATCCACAACGAAGAAGATGACGACAATATGAGTGACGATGGCTCTGTCTCGAGTCACGAAAGTCTCGAGCCAGAAGAGCAGCGACTCAAGGACATCAAGGACACCATGCTCAAGCTTGATACCGTCATGGACGTTCAGTTTGCCTACTACGACTCCATCTTCGAGAAGGGCGACCTTTTGGAGATGGACCGCACCTACCAGTCTCTCATTGCACAGTTCCAATCCATCATCATTCCAACTTACCGATCGCGGCACACCCAATTCATCCTCTTCCACTTTAGCCAATTGTCGACGGATTTCATGGAGCGCTTCGTCGATACCTGTTCACATCTGGCCATTGACTCAAACCGGCCTCCACTACTCCGAGCATCAGCATGCGCCTATCTTGCCTCGTACATTGCCCGCGGCGCCCATGTTCCCGGGTTTGTTGTGCGCAACGTCTTTGACCTTTTGTGCTCGCAACTCGAGCGTTTGCGTATGCTGCACGAGCCAAAATGTACAGGACCTGACTTACGGCGATACGGCACATACTATGCCATTGCGCAAGCACTGCTTTACGCCTTTTGCTTCCGATGGCGCGACCTCATTGTCACGCCCGACGGCTCACTACCCACCGACGCCGACATCATGTATCACGAGGGCGATTTCGAATGGCATCGGTCGACGCTCGAAATTGTTCGCCGCAACATCTTCTGCAAGCTCAATCCGCTCAGGATATGCGCACCAGACATTGTCAAGCAGTTTGGCCGCATTGCCAAGCACCTCCGCTTTACCTATGTCGATACACTGGTGGAGACGAACAAGCGTGTACGGCTTGCCCGTAGTCTTGCCAGCAGCTATCTCACTGGCATAGGTGGTCGAGAGACGGCTCTGACTGGCAAGAAGGGAGAGGAGGCGTTTTTGATGGATGCGTACTTTCCATTTGATCCATATGTTCTGCCACGCAGTAAACGATGGGTTGAGCATGATTACGTGCAATGGCGACCGGTTCCTGGTATGCCTGTGGAAAAGGACGAGGATGACGAAGATGAAGATGAGGAGGATGACGACGACGACGATGACGAGGAAGATGAAGAAGGTGATGACGAAGATGATAGCACTTCTGATCAAGACGAAGAAGAGGAAGACGACGACAGCGATGACGAAGTAGGTGGAGCGCACGCTGATGACCTTGATGACGGCAGTACAGAGGCAAGCGTTTGAATTGCATATTGCATTGTGATTTTTGGGATGCGTTACCTCAAGGCAATTGTTTTTTTTTTGGCGTTTACGGAAATGGGGGACAAGCATTTGGGCGTGGCATTGCTCGGCGCTGGTCCTAAAAACCTGGTGTATGTGGGTGGCTGTCTTCCTTCTTTTCTGGCCACGATTTACATCAGACTTCTTTTTCATGTGCTGGATGGATTGAGTATTTTCTTCCTTTTTACTTGTAGATAATTGAGGTGGATTTTATGAAGGAAACACTAGGATGAGTTCAAGCTGCACCGTCAGCTTCCATCCGTTGTCATGGTCATGTATTTTGAGCGTCAAATCACACAGTCAAACCCACCATGTCCCGACTCATGCCAGATGCGTATACATGTTGCTTGCTTTCAGTGATTGTTTGGTCGGGCAACAAAGCCCACTACATACCAACTCCTATCTATACACAACGACGACGATGCATTTGCCTGAGAAGAAGGCGAAAACACCCCCACCTTTCCCTTTGCATAACCCGAAACCCGATACATGCATATTAAATGAAAGAAAAGAAAGAACAAAAAAACGACGACACCTCCCAAGAACAACGCCTCGCCCCCTCCCAATATGGAAATTTACGCCCTGGATTTTGACTTTGCACGGAAAGTGGGATACATGGCGGTTGCAGCTATGTGGTGAAGTTCATATAAAGGGTATAACAGAAAGAAGAAACCAGGAAGAATGCAAACGAAGGAAGAGAAGAGAAAGAAATCTCGACCATTCTACGAAAATCCCGTTCAGAATCCGTCAAGGAAGAGAAAGAAATAATAAAAAAAATGGAGTTAGCACTACTACGGATTCGACGTAGAAGCCGAATTTGCAGCACCGCCAACCCCACTCTCACGCTTTCTTCTTCGCCTCTGTCTCGCATTGTCGCGTAAGAACTGGGGATCGATAAAGTCATCCGGCAGCTCGAATTCCTTTTCGGCAAACTCGGGAATGGGCTGGCCAAAGGCGCTGGCGTTGCGGCCGTGGCGGTGCTTGCCCAGCGCTGCAGCGCGGAGATGGGGTTTGGCGTAAAACGACTGGAAGGGTGCTGCAGGCTCGGGTGGGATGAGGGGAAGGAGGAAGCCATGGGGGCGAGGCGGCCGTCTAGGTTTGGGGGGTTCTGGCTCCTTGGGTTGGTGCCGTGGCGGAGGTGCGTCTCGTGTGTTTGCAACGGAACTGTCGGATTCTTCCGTGTCGTCGCCGTCTGCTTCGTCGTCTTCTTCTTTTGCGGCTAGGGCGGCTTCCTTATCAGCGCGTAGCCGTTTCTCTTCTTCTTTCCACACGCGGAACTTGTCGACCAACGCTTCTACTTCTCTGATAAAGTAATCACGCTTGGCCTCCCAATCCTTCCTCTCACCGTCTGTGACACCTGTTATGCCCATGACCTTGAGCCAGTCTGGACCTTGTAGGCCGTCGAGCAGGCGTTCCAGTTGCACCTTTTCATGCATAGCGCGCTCTTTTTCAATGTTGCGCAGTTGCTTCTCCTTGCGCTCCGCGCGCCGATGCTGGGTAAAGTAGACCGAGTCGGCAAGGGGGTCTTGGCCATCCTCGTGGTGGATTGCATTGGCTATGGTGGCATAGTTGAGAACCTGGAAAGATGTGGAGGATTGCGCCGGGGGTATAGCCGCATCTGAGCCATGACGCGAAGGCGAAGTAGGCGAGGCGGGTTTTGCTCTTCTTGAGCGCGCTGGACTCACTGAGTTGCGCGAGGGCTGTGGTGTGGTGGGTGCAGGGGTGTTGCTCTTGACGGGTTCATCGACAATGTATATGGGCGTGTCGAGAGCAAGAAATTCTGTATGCGACGTCAGCCAGCACGCAGAGCGACACGGGGACGGCAAGCATTACCGTCGTCCTTGGAGACGCCTGCGATGATGTCGTCGTAGTTGTAAAAGTAAATGGCTAGATGGCTCTTGAGGCGCGATCCGCCGTCGTGGCTCCGCAGGCTCCTCTTGTCGGTCGAGGAGGCCGTCGAGGCAGGGGCGGGGACGGCTGGGGTCGAGGCAGTCAGCTTGCCAGCGCTGGCTGGTCGCGGCGTCGACGCTGGCGAAGGGACATGGGCGGCGTCGAAGCGCAGGGGCACGGAAACACTGTTGGGGACAGGCAGGTGGTCACCGTGGGGCTGTGTGACGGTGATCTTGGTGGGCGGTCGTGAGTCGGGCTGGTCTGGGTCGACCTCTGTGGCAGGCCGCTTTCTGCTCGTGGTGCGGGCGGCGGGCGTGTCGGGCGAGGTCTGGAGGACGGGCTTGTCGTCGTCTGCAAGCGCAATCAGGGGCCCGGAACGCGAAGCCCGGCGTGTCGCGATGGTGGCGGTGGGTGTGGTGTTGCGCTGGACGTGTGCGTGGGAGTGTGCGTGGGCGTGGGCGAGGGCGTCATCGCGCGACACGGGCAAGAAGTTGAGTCTGGTCTGCCGGTCATTCGAGCCTCGCAGCAGAGGCCGAACGGCGTTGGCCATGTTGAGCAAGCTGAAGATCATTCGCGACTGGCTGGGACATTTTTCAGCATCCCATTGTCGAGCTTGCCATTGAGAGTCGCGCCGTGCTGGGTTCATGCAAAACGCGAGCCGTTAGGGGGTCGTCGATTCGCAGAGCTCGTCCGCGCTGTTTTGGCAGGCGAGCTTGCTGCACCTGTACCGCTTCCCACGGCTGCTGCACACACGACCGACCCTTTGCCCCGGCGAGCAGACGTCGGATTAAGCTTCATAGCACACTCGTCACGTTTTCATATTGCTCCAGCATCTTCGCGGCACACGCAGCGAATTGCAGCACAGCAACCCAGACATGCTTGGGCGACTGGCAGCGCCACCGAGGCTGCCCGGCCAATCACTTGGCTACTGTCCTGGGGCGACACACGGTCAGCAACTGCACCGTTGTCGACGCCTCTTGTTTGAACTGCCATGGACTTGCAAGGCTGGTTGCAAATATGTATGTATACGTATGTCTGTGTGTCTGTATGTACAAGTGACGCAGCTGCGCGAGACAAAAAGATGAAACAGAAACCTCGAGGCCTTGGCACTAGTGGTAGCGCACACAAGAGAGCCAACAGCGTCGCACCAAACGCCCTTGAAGTGCGCGACCCAGGCCCTACCGTGGGCAGAATAGAGGGACAAAAGCAATACTGGTATACGGCAAATGACATCACGGGAACAAAAAGTCCTTGAGCACCGGTGCGCCAGCAAATTCCGGATTGAGAAGGACGCAGCTAAAAAAAGTCAGCCAACCTGCGCTAAGGGTGGTTATCGATAGAAGACAAACTTTAGAAAATACGACAGCCCTTGTTTCCGCTTTTCCAGAAAACGGGGCCTGAAGCGAGCTACGCCCAGCAAGTCAGTCAACGGCACTATCGGAGTGGGGTGGAGAGAGGTGGTGCAACCTACAGATGACCGACTTGGGGGGCAGCTGGGGCAGCGAGCCGGCGGCATGGGGGAATGTCTGCCGCAGCTTTGCGTGCAGCTCCTCAAACTCGGAATATCTGGGCGATGGGGTGTCAACACAGTGCTCTGACTGGAGTAGTGTACACTACGTGGGTGGTGCACGAGGCACAGGGTAAAGGAAACATGACAGCGACACCTACCTCTTGCGTATCTTCATGGGGCCTCCCTGGACGAAAAAGATAGTTAGCAAGATGCATCTCGTTGCTCCACCGCGGGCCCTTGTGCATGCGCAACCTGGTGTGGATGGTGTGGCATGGGAGGCCAGGCTGGGCGGCGATTGGCTGGACAACAAGGGCGCGGCAGGCTAGCGCATGGGTGTTGGAGGCAAACTCACATCGAGCGTCTGAACGGTACAGTTCCAGACGACGTATGCGCCGATGGCCGGTGCAGTGCCACTGACGACGACGTAATCGTCTATGGTGACGCCCTTCGCCCACAGCGCCTTGCAGTGGTCGGAGCCGTCATGAGTATGGTCCTCGAGGCCGATGGGCGCAGGGTGGTTGTTGCTGTTGTCTGCAGAGCAAGTGCTGCGGTAGCTGGCACTGCGCTGGTGCTGTTGCCAGTAGGGTGGCACCACGGCCACACTGCTGCCGTCTGGCGACGGCGGCGACGGCTCTCGAGTCTCAGACTTGGCCGGCTCCATGCACTTGTGGCTGGGAGGGCTGACGGGTAGAGTACGTATGCTGTCGAGTCTCCAGAGGGGGGGTGTTCGGAGGGGTTGGGCGTGTTTCCGGACGGTGGGTTGCTCAGCAGTGCGGCGGCAACAGCAATAGCAGCAATAACAGCAATAACATCAACACAGCAGTGCAGCGGCCTAAGTAGAGTAGCGGGCTAGCGTGTGTGGATTGACAATGGCCATGTCCATGGCCCGCCGAACGGATGCATAATGGGGGATGGGCAGGTCGCGCTCGGATGCGTGCGAGGACCCTGGATGCTGGACAGACGACCAAGGGCACGAGTGACTAAGCCAGACAGATGCTAGGCTGGTGGCGCCAACCTCTCCTCCCCCCCCTGACCGTCTAGTCCCCCCCTAGTCGCCTGCTCGCAGCCATTTGGGCAAATCCCGCTCGCCGCAATGTCTCCCCACAGCCTGCAGCATCTTCTTTCTAGCCGCACATGCACATGTCGCCGCGGATGCTCGAATCATCGCCCCGCCTCTCAGCACTGGCCGGCGGGGAGACCCCCGCACGGTCCCTATCGTGAGCTTTCCTATCGCCTCGTCGACTAGCTTATTGCCTGCTGCCGATGCCATCCCTCCCGCTATATATTATGCCACACATGCCGTGCCATCCAGCCTCCTCTAAGCCTTCACCTTCGCTGCTTGACCATCCGTGCCCCTTGCATTGACTCGTTCACTTTCTGTCGCTGACCGTATATAACTTGTTGTAATTCCCTCACCAGTCGCTTGTTCCCGCTACCGCTGAGCTTTACATACCACTACACATATCCTACTAAACACTCCAACAACACCCACCGCCATTTCCATAATCCCCACCATGCGTTCCGTCTTCGCTCTCGGCATTGCCGCCTTGACTGGCCTCACTGCTGCTCAGTCAACTCCTCAGATGAACTATCCTTACACAATCGACCCAGACACCGTTCCACAGTCCACCAGAGGTATGTGCTATTCTGCCTCCTGCTCTCTGTTTGCCTCGGCTATCAACTCACACATTTCCAGATTACTGGTGCTCTCAGAACGTGGCACAATGCCCTCTCATCTGCCTCCAACAGCCTGGCGTCAACTCCATGAGCACAGAGTCAAATGACTGTGATTCCGACAACTTGACCTACAACTGCGTCTGCGACAACGGCGTCTCCCCAAACATTACCGAATACTCCCAGACCCTGCCCTTCTTCATCTGCCAGCAATGGGGAAACAACTGCGTTGACAACTGCGGCAACGACGCTGCCTGCCAGAGCGCCTGCCGGTAAGCACTTGCAAAACACTTCATAATCTCAAAACACTGCTAACACACTCTTTCAGTCAGGACCATCCATGCGGTGCCCAACAGCCCTACCGCGGCAACACTTCTCTCCCCACCACCATGGCCTCCACCGCAAAGCCATCCGGTACCGCCAGCAACACCATCCCAGTCACTGGTTTCGGTGGTGCCGAGCCCACCGGCAGCAGCGGCAGCGACAACAGCGGCAACAACAACAAAGGCGCCGGCTCCCTCTTCATGCCCAACGCCGGTCTGGGTCTGGCTGCTCTCTTTGGCAGTGTCTTTTTCGGCTTTGCCGTTCTCTTGTAAAGAGGCCCGGCGACCACAAAACAAGCACGCATCTTTTTATTTTCTCAGCATTTTTCACTCCCTCTTCTCATGCATAGCGTCTCGGATTCAAAAACAGTCCTTTCAGTTTTCGATACCCATTTGGGGAAGCGATACATGACTCGCTCTTTTTAGCACGAGGCCTGGCGAGGTCTCCCCTGTCTTTTGATTCAGAGCATTGCGGTTCTTCTCGGCAGTATTTGCATATTTTGGGAGTACGAGCACCAGCCGCAGTACAGTTGGCATAGTATCACGTTATAATACGAATAACCGACACGACGGTTGATTATGGAAAATCATGTTTCCCATGCACATCATTGCGATACCCTGACTCACATCCCATGCACCCTTTCCCAAACACAAGCCTCGGATATCAAAACACAAACAAGTTCAGGCACACAGCACAAAAATGTGAAGCACCGGGCGAAAAGTTTATGAAGGTCCAATTCATTACTAGCTATTACTAACGCTGAACAGAGCAACTCGTGATGATCACGCACTACCCGTCTCATCCCGTCACCAACAAGCCGCGACCACTTTTTTTGTTTTCCTGAACGTTCACGCTCACATGTGCAATCTCCGCGTTGCACCACCCTTGCCACCATCATCGCCATCCCACCAACATTTATCATCCAGACTCTTCCTCAAACCCAGTCCACCCGATGCCCTGTTACCTCCTCCCTGAACACAAGTGCAACAGCACACCGTCCGAGGCACTTCATCAATCAACATCTCGCACAACGAGACACGGGATCTGCATTTGCTCGAAGAACACCAGTCCCATTCCATCTCGTGTTGCCGAGGATCTAGACTGAGACTTTGCATCGGGGTCAGTGGCGATGGCGATGACACAATGGTGGGGACCAGAACCGGTGTTGCAGGTCTAACGGGAACCGGTTGATCATCCATACTAGAGACCGACGATGCTGGAGACCCACAGGCCGCCTTTGCGTCTCCCGCCTGTCCCTCTAACAAAAGTGGTATGGCGATGCAAGAGCTGATTGGTCGTGCTCTGTGCATCTGTCTTTCCTGCGCTTCCTCACCGGGTGGTGTCGAAGACCCCGAGCAATGCAATGATGGCGTGCTGGATTCCAAACTGGAGAACTCTGCCTGTGGGACATCCTGTGATTCCTTTGGCGAAAGGGGCATCATCGTCTCCATTGACACGCGAGGGAGAACTCCAATCTCAGCGAGACAGCGTGTTTCCACTCCCAATTTCGTACTACCGCTAGATAGAAGAGCCATTTCGTCTAGCGGCCCTACGGCTGTATCGTTGTCCATAGTCATACGCCCCTTCCCTTTGTCCACTTTGCTGGACCGTCGTGATCTTAGAAAATCGCCAAAGACGAAAAACGAGTCTTTGCGTGTCCGAGGCTCACAATCAGAGCCCTGCGTGCCATATGCTCGAAACCAATCTAATCGGTCCAGATCCATATCCGCATTGGAACCTCGATGGCTGTTGACATGTGTCTGTATGACCGCATTCCCTTGTGTCTGCAACGTTTCCTGGAAAGCATTCCAGTCAGCAGTGTTGTAGAAGGAACTGGGGCCAACATCGCCGTTTGCGTCAAAGAACTCGCTTACATTGGGGAGCTGAAACGACCCATTCCACATCTGATATTCTGGGGTGCGGTCGATATTTGCTGGGTCTGTAGGACCACGCAGGTTGAAAGACAAGCTCGAACGTCGTGTGTCAGAAGAGGCCACTGACGGGTCTTCATCTTCAATCGAGCCTCTCCGGCTGCCGAAGAGCCGCTTGAGCCTGAAGTTGAGCCGGTTGAGAAGCTCGGCCACTTGCGACGGTCTCCGTCCATGTTCCAGTCCGTGTTCCGTGTCGTCAATGGCAGGGCTGGGAAGTGGTGTAGTAAGGACAGAGTGGTTGCTACTGACATCGGAAGATGATAGTGACATCATGTAGCCTCCAGGCGGCAGTACTAGGTAAGGGCCGTCGATGGACGCCGCTGGCACTGATTGTGACCTTTTCCGACGCTTTCCGAGGTAGCTACACGTATGCAAGAAGGATTTTGAAACTTCTCGCTTTAGGGAACGTCGTCGAGGGTGAGACGGTTGAAGTATTTCCAGGTCGGAATCGGTTTCGCAGGAACTCACAGCTCCGAACGGCTCGGTAAAGGATATACGTTGGTGATCTTGATGGCTCATTGTGTGGGCCAGCGGGGAAGTGTTTAGGGGAACAGTCGAATTGTCCAGACCAAAATGGCACTCCTAGGCGATGTTTATACAAGACACAACGCGACTGTAAGGGTGTGCCAGCAGGCTTTCAAGGCACCTTGGGACGATGTGTAAGAAGAAGCCAGCCTAACAGCTGAGGATGCATTGGGTGTAACGGCGGACGGACGTGCCTGATGGGCTGGTATCGAGGAAGAGACAGGTCAGCATCATGGTATGGACCCGATTAAATAACCAGTGCAACACATAAGCAATACTACCGAAGCCGAAAGGAAGTTTTAAGGAAGTAATGATTAAATCTCACGTCTTGCGTTGTGCATAAACGAGCCATGCCCAGTGGTTCCAATAGCGCCGGTTCTATGGGAGACGCTTAGAATGAAGAGACTTTGCCAGATCCCATGGTTCTGATCCCTTGTTTGGGCGCCCAGATAGGGAAAGTTCCACCCATTGAAAGTAGTCGTTTTGACCCTGCACCATAGGGCAGTCTCAGCCAGTGCCGGCTTGAAGGGCAATCCGGACACACGGGTTCCGGCCAGATTAGCTCCAGTGATTATTGATGAGAGACCTGTGTGCTCAATCGGCAGTCTGCCAGTCTTCTCCGTGAGGTTGCTATCTGATCCTTTCACAACATGCCTTGACAGCAGGCAATCAATATGCTGGGTGGCATCTGGATAAACGGCATGTTTCTCGACGGACCGAATGGTACCATCGCAGAGGTACCGGCGGCACTGATGCCGTTCGCTTAGATTGGCCGGCTGGGTTCCGCATGAAGTTGGAGAGTTGGAGGGACCTAGCCAGCCTCCACATTGCGGCGGCATGCCGCTTCGACCCGCCACCCGATAAGATAAGTAATGTCCTGGCTAGCGTGGATCTGCAAACACGCCAAACACCGCTATGACACCACCATTCCAACGCTCGAGGTGCGCAAATCATATATACTCGCGTATGTCACGGCAGCTCCTCACAGGCTCACAATGCCGCCTCGAATATCATTGGCACCGTCTCGAGCCCTGTCGTCGCCATTGACACGCTGTGTGCGCCTGCAGCCCCAGCGGAGGTTTCTCTCGAGCTCCGCAGATACACCAGAAGTCTACGATGTCGTCTGTGTAGGTGGAGGCCCGGCTGGCCTCAGTCTACTTACGGGTCTAAAAGCATCGCCAATTACCAATGGATTGAAAGTTGCACTTATCGAGGGCCAGGATTTGCACAAGAGCCGGCTGGCGCAAGACGCCAGCTTGGAGACCTTCTCGAATAGATGTAGCTCCCTCACACCGGCTTCCGTGAGAAACCTGCAGGGTGCGCACGAGCATGTGGATCCTTGAATCATAGAATTGTCTAACATATGCTGTGTAGAGATTGGAGCGTGGGCCCATGTCAACCAGCCTCGAGTACAGCCATACCAGGAGATGCAAGTATGGGACGGCGTGAGCGGAGCACGCATATCCTTTGACTGGCACACCGCAAAGCCTCTCCCTACTCCCCGCAATCCCGCGCAGCCGACGACCATTGCATACATGATTGAGAATGTCAACACTGTCACTGCCCTGCTGAGCCGGCTTGAAGAGCTCGGCGGTGTCGATTTCTACACATCTACCAAAGTCAATTCGATAGACCTGGGCACCGATACGGATAAGATGGACTTTTCTTCCTGGCCGATACTCACATTGTCAAATGGGAAGTCCCTCGCGGCGAGGTTGTTGGTAGGCGCCGATGGTGCGAACAGTCCAGTTCGGACATTTGCAGGCATTGAGTCGCGAGGATTCGATTACAATAGACATGGAGTTGTAGCCAGCCTGAAGCTTGAAGGCCAGGGCTGGGGAGGGTCGGATCACAAGATTGCGTACCAGCGGTTCTTGCCGACTGGACCAATTGCTATGCTGCCATTGCCTGGTAACATGTCGACGCTTGTATGGAGCACAACGCCGGAGCGTGCCGCCAAGCTCAAGGCACTGTCGCAGCAGGAGTTTGTTGCCATGGTCAACGCAGGCTTCCGACTGTCGCCCACTGATCTCGAGTACTTGCACACACTATCGTCGGGACATGAAGAAGAAGTTGCGTGGCGAGAGAAGCACACACCTGTCGACGAGCACGCAATCCCCATGCGGGTGACCAACGTACAGGCCGGCACTGTTGCATCCTTTCCGCTTCGTATGCGACATGCAGACACTTACACGGGCGAACGAGTCGCACTAGTCGGTGACGCTGCGCATACCATACATCCGCTTGCAGGCCAAGGCCTCAACCAAGGACAGGGCGATGCAGCAGCACTTGTCCGAACAATATCGTATGCTGTTCAGACTGGTCAGGACATTGGATCAACGTTAGCATTGGAAAGCTACAACAGCGAACGATACGCGGAGAACAATGCCATGCTGGGCGTATGTGACAAGCTGCACAGGCTCTATAGTGTAGAATCAGGGCCACTCGTAGGACTACGAAGCCTAGGCTTGAGAGCTGTAGATGCCATGGGCCCACTCAAAGGCTTCTTCATGAGCAAAGCAGCCGGCGGATCATGAACCCCCTCAAAACCAAAGATTTGTTGTACTTTTATCTTCTACTGTACATCGTGTATACATATCTACATAACCTGACAAAAAATCACCAAAAATCCAAAACAAAAGAAAAAAGAAACCCCGAAGAACCATCCTCCACCCGTCCCCATGACCCGAAAGCAGAAGCATAAAATCCCTAAAGTCAGCATTCTTTGTCTGAGGTATATGATAAATCGTATCATAAATCCACTTTTTGCCCTTTTCCTTTTTTTTCTTTTCCTTTTCATCCCTCATGCATTTGGACCCCCCCTGTAATATATACCTCCATGCAGTCTAGCCCCCCACTATCCCTATCCCACAAACATGCGCGCATGCATATGCCCCACTACCCACCTCTCACGGCAGGAATTCCGCCAGTAAGAAGCATACGTATGCACGCATCTCGCGGCGAAGCTGCCCTTGCGCTTCCCTTTTTTTTTGCCTCCAAACGTGAGACTTAGGTAATTTAAGCTTAAGCTTTTTTTGCGTCTGCGTCTTTGCCTCCTGCCCGTTCCTACTACTCCTCGCCCCCCCCCCCCCCCCCCCCCCCCCCCCCCCCCCCCCCCCCTTCACCATTCTCCAACGGCTTACCTCTTTTTCTTCCTTCCTTAAACTCCCGAACCTTTTTCTTTTTTTTTTTACACCTGACTTTGTTTATATATTTTCGGCTCTTTCTCTCCGTCTGCGTGTGTCTCTGTGTGGTTTGCTTTTTGTTTACTTCAAAACGTCATTTCGGATCGCGCTTGGTAGAGAGAAAAAAGAAAAAAAAAGAGGGAAAAAGATGACGACAGAGCATGAAAAGGAGATTGAATCATTTGGAGCTAATAATGATTTCTGGATCTTTGGATATGGGTACGTTAATCACTGTGGCGAAGAACAAACAGAAAAGATTACCCCCCCCCTTCCCCCTCCCGTTCCTTTGCATTCGCTTCCATCTCTCACATACATACACATTTCTGTATGTGTATGTCTTGGGTGCATATGTGTTTACATGCATGTTACATGTTTACATGTGCAGCTTGTGTTTTTTTATGTGTGTGTCACATGGGCTAACTCGCTTGGTGCTTTGTTTTTTCGGTTGAAATAGAAGCTTGATCTGGAAACCACCGCCACACTACGGTACGGCCCGTCCCCCCCCTTACTAGATCTTTTTTTTTCAACAAAAAAATGAGGAGAAGAAAAAAAAAGTCGCTTGATACGTTTACGGATAAGCTACCCAGCCCTGCTTCTTACTCCCCCGCACATCTTGCGGTTCCTGCTTTTTGTTTTTTTTTCCTTTCCTCAGTCATTCGATGAATGAAATGCTTTGGTTCTGATTAATGTAGATCAAAGACTTCCGGGATATATTGAAGGCTATGTGAGGCGGTTTTGGCAGGTACGTTGATTTTTTTCCCTTCTAGGTATATGGCTATCAGATCCGACTCGGGAGCTAGCCATGCACATGTTGATCTGCACGGAAAAGAGACCAGAAAAACGAGGACTAACCTAGTAATTGTGTAGGCGAGGTAAACAATTCCATGTCCACGACTCAGTCTAGCATGCTGGAGACGACAGAACACGTGGATGATGATGGCTGAAAAAACTACAGTGAAGATCACCGCGGTACGCCCGAAGCACCTGGTCGCGTCGTCACTTTGATTGATCGGGCGCATTGGGAGACGTTGGGCGATCAAGTAAGTCGTTTATTTTCCTTTTTTCCATGTCGAAAATCCAGTGTACATTTGTAAATGCACACATCATCCTCTCCCAAACAACAACACATGAATACTAAGACCATGCCACAAGCATGACGCCCCCTCTCGTGTCTGGGGCGCGGCATACCATATTCCCGCCCGCCACGTCGAGTCGGTACGCAAATACCTGGATCTCCGAGAAATAAATGGTTACTCAATCCAATTCACGCCTTTCCATCCTGCCGTTAGCAGCGCGACTGCTGCGCCCGAAGAAGTGCCTGCCGAGGATTCATCGTTGCCTTCGACAGCCATCAAGGTCACGAGCACGGAGTCACTTGTGCCCGAGCCAGAATGCATCAAGTGTCTGGTGTACATTGGGCTTCCAGAAAATCCCCAATTTCTAGGTGCACAGGACCCGGATGCGTTGGCGAGGAAAATCCTACAAAGTGAGTCGATCTTTTCCCTTTGTGATGAATGTTTTGCTGATTGATGATTTCCTAGGCAAGGGCCCAAGTGGAGAGAACAGAGAATACTTGTACAACCTTGATGTTGCGTTGCTCGGATTGAGCGAAGACAGTGGTGATGCGCATGTCAGTGACTTGGTTGGGCGCTGTAGAGCATTGGAGGAGGAAATGGGCATTGGGGACGGAAACGAAGGCGAGAAGAGTGGCGAGGTGTTGCACAAAGTGGGAAGCACAGAGGAGCAAGAGGAGGTGGAAAGGTAGATGACGAGGAAATTGTAGTGACCATCCAATCGAACTCGTACGACAGGAAAAAATTTCCGCAGTAGCATGATCTGATGCGCCTGATATCGGGTTTGGATGCATGTCTGCTATTTGCCTCACAATGTAACCTTAGTCTCGGCAATACGCGACACTTTGTAACCAACCCAGATATTCGGGTCTGCGCGATTAGACTGCAGAGGCGAATGTGATTATGAAGCCGAGGAGGCTGAATGTCATCAGCCACAACGCCAGAAAGATGCATGAGACGCTAAAAAGTATGACGATACAAACACAAATTATGCCCATGCACCGACAAGTGCCATTAGATACGCGCCTCCCAAAACGCTGGCGCACGCCTGTAGTCGCCGCTTGCCACGCAGGGTGACGTAACTCTCGTCACTGAGAAAGTCTTCGGCAAGAAGCTCGACCAGGCCGGCGAATAGAAGCAGGCCACTTGATATGGCGTTCATGAAGCCTACAGTTAGTAAGCCAGCTTGACTTGCAGGATCATACAGGGTGTGGATCGCCAGTCCTATGGCTTGGCCGATAGGGGTCGTTGTGCCATAGGCCATTGCCATAAGCCAGGGCTTCGGTGATCCAGCTGGGAAGCGGATAGCACTGATTCTCGCACCGAGTGCAAATCCTTCAAAAGTCTGGTGAAAGGATATGGCGGTGAGAAGTACAATGAAAGCAGTGCCGGTTGCCACTGAAAGGGCCATGCCTATGAAGACGGAGTGAAAAAGGATGCCAGCTTCAAGCAGCAGGCATTGAAGCAGGAGCTTCTTGTTTTGGGCATCTGACTTTTCTGGAGTTTCGGACGACTCGCCGCGGCCATGGCTGTGCTGCTGATGGGTATGAGGACCTGGCAGCAGGCGGGATTCATCTTCTGAATCTTCAGCATCCTGATGGGCTAGTTCCTCTCTAGTAATTTCCAGATCGGAATCATCGTCATCGTCATCGCCATTGTTCATGGACTTTCGATTCCGTGCATCAATGGGCATGGTAGGGGTCATGGGCGATGCAGCTGAAACGGAGGGTGATCGTCCGGCCATCAAGTTGGTCGAGGACTCGACGTCATGGAGTACAATGCCTGGTGCAAGGCCACTCGCCCCTGGCATGCCGTTGCTGTACATGCCGTAGCTATGGCTCCTCTTGTGGGCTGGACGGGCGCTATTCTGAGAGGAGTCGAGACCGAGGTTCTCGTAGCCCGTCGAATGCACATGTCCCGCTCCACGTGCCGCAAAGAACATTTCAATGCTCACAACCACGAAGACAGCCGTCATAGCCACGAGGCCCGGCATGGCGGGATAGCGCTTGTTCCAGAAGTGAGGAAGACATGGGTGTGTGAGAGACTCGAAGGCAGTGGGGAGGAGATGGACGAAAGCGGTGGCTATAAGTACGCCGGTGCCAAAGTGTCGTGAGATGAAGAGGAACTGGTGGGGCACGGGGATCGAGGGAAAGCGCTTGACGATGATTGGGAAGGAACAAGCTGTGCAGGTTAGCAATGGGGGGGTTGCAAGGTGGGGAGTGCGGCGGACGTACCCGCTGTGCTCAGGGTGAGGATGAGCAGCAGGGCAAAGACATGCAGCGTCGTGTTGTACTGCCCCTTGCCGCCTTTTGTCTCGCACTTTGGCCGCTCATCTGTCTCTTCTTGCCTGCGGAGCAATTCGGCATGTAGGATGTGGGCGGGTATGTCGATGAGGGCTGGGGAGGATGGCATGGTGAAGGGAGGGGCGCCACTGTGGCTTGCAAAAGCAGTTGCGATCTGCCTTTGGGAAGATTTGGTGCCAGCATGACGCGTGCGAACATAAGAGCATCAGCGCCGGCAAAGGGACGCGCGGACCCGTTGCGCTTACCAAGAGATTGCTGGCGTCGGTACCGGTGTGGCCCTTGGCTTTTGGACCTGTTGGTGCGCCATGGAGCCGTTCATCTTGACAGAATGTAGTATGTAGTAGTATCTACTTTGCTCCAGTCTGCTACGAGCGAGGGCGACAGGGCGTCTGCGACATGACCCTTGGCCGCGGGCTCGGAACGCGGTCGGAAGCCAAGAGTGACTACGTATCCATCCATCTGCACACAGGCTGGCGGGCATGCAAAAGATACATACATCAATACATCCATACTCGATGCGTCCAAGCAGAGCCGGGTACAAGCGTCCGAGGTGCTGATGGTGCAGCCGCTTCTCTCTGTCTTCTCTGCATGGGCATGGGGGCGGCAGGCGAATCATGACATTCACCACCCCCCAAGACACCACTCGGCCATATGTCGAGTAGCCAGTGTGCATGCAACGCCACATGGGAGACGGCAGGTAGCCCGCAAGTAAGTAGTCGTGCCATGCACTTGGAGAAGACAGGCCCCGTTCTATACATACTACAGACCATGCAAATGCAGCGTTAGCCACGGGCCATGGGGGATGCTGATGCTATTTTTGATGTCTGGCCTACATATAAGCCGGGACCCTGCTTCGCTCAGCGTCTGCAACGGCTCTGCATCCGCCTACAGAAAACACCAGGCCAAACCTCGCCTCGATACACAGGCTCGCAAGCGGTCTAGATCGGCGGCGCCCGACAGAGGCCTTACCCGGCATCGCTTCTGCAGCCTAATACCAATCAGGTCCTTGATAGTTCGCACTTGCCCACGCCCCTCCGCTGTGTCAAGCATCACCAAGAACGACACAACCCCAACTCAGCCTCGTTTCCACACATGCCAGAATCAAAATGGTGGCAGCCGAGCATCGATTAGGAAAGTCTGGCCCAGTCACTCCTCCTTCTCTTCGACCGGCTACGCCTTACTGAGCCCCACCCCCTTCGTCTTCTCTGCCATCCCCAAGACGGCGCCTCGCTGGGTCCCGCGACGGGACATTTTGGCACCCTAGGGCCACGACGGCGCTGGCGGGCCGAGCCCATAATGTCTCAAAAACAGGACTTTCTGTTCGTCGACGCCGCTCAAGCAAAGACATCTCGCCAGGGCCGCCGCAATGCTCGTTCCTTTGTTATGCAGAATGCGCGCAGGAAGAACCCATGGTCGACCAGCAAGCACGCTGCAAAGCAAAGAAAGACGGGCAGCCCGGAAAGCACAAGCCCCAACAGCGCTACCTCTCCCTCGACACACACGCCAAACACAGCAACGCCAAGTCCTCCGCTCCTCCCAAACAGATCTGATTACTTCCCCCTCCAGGACCGCCGTGAGTATGCACTGGCCAGAAAACTCGTCTGCCCCGACTGTCACGTCTTTCTCGGTCGCCCTAATGAGCGGCTGTGTCCAAGATGTCTACTCCAGAATCCTGCGCCTGCTCAAGACCCAAGTACCGAATCATTTGACCCCTTTCGCACTTCATCCATTGAAGTCACTCGAGATGTATCTGACCTTTTGAGGCATTGTAAGTCGTAGTCCCTGCGTCTTTTTTGCGTACATGGGTCTGGGGATACCGGCATGGTGGTACAGCAACCCTGTTTAGTTTGTGTCCCATACTCAAGTTGGTCACGTCAGCACAAAAGAGGGACCATTGCATTTGACACCATTGCCATTTGTGGCTTGACCAAAGCCCTGCTGCATTGCGTTGCTGACCACGAAACAGTCTCAACCGAGATGGCGCCAGGGATCATTGCAGTCGACGTCCGCCATCGCTCCACCCTCATGAAGTCGGATTGGTTTGGCACCGCGATAAGTAACCCAGGCTTTATGCACAGTCTGCTCTCCACCATAGCCCTGCATGCATATGTTTTTGGCAAAGGCACCATTGACGCCATCCTATACCATCGCGCACAGGCAATCGCTGCGGTGAATGCGGCTATACTGACTCCAGAAGGAATTTCTGATGCCAACATTGGCGCCGTCTTTAATCTACTCACCGTCGAAGAAAGCTTGTTACTGCCAACCTTTAGGCTTGAAGAGGACCATATGGCACAGCTCCAGATACACCAGAGGGGATTGCAAAGAATGGTACAATTGCGTGGAGGACTCGGTGCCATAAAGACGAACCGCATCCTCCAGGCCTTTATGCTTTGGTGGGTGAACACTTTTTTTTTTTTGCATCGCCAGCTGAACTGAGTTGGCATGTGCTTACAAAGCACCAGGCATTCGACCGCTCACGCCGTCGCTTCTTTCCAAGCACCAAACCTCTCAACATTAGATTTCATAAACACAGCAATCTTCCCGCGTCATCCCCCCGAATACCGCCCGAACATATCAAAACATCTCAACAACTATTGTCGCTATGCAGGTGTCAAGACGTCTCTCAATGCCTTGGTAGAGTCAGTACTTGTGCTAATAGCTGATCTCAACGTTTGGTTTGGTGACCCCGAAAGCCCGCTGGATCCTCTCGATATTCAAAACTTTGCCTGTGTTTTGGAGTGTTCATTGCTAGCATGGCTGCGGGAAAACGAACATCTCGTCACGCCTCTCGAAGATGCATTGTGCGTTGCGCTGCTGATTTTCACCGTGCGTACTACAGAGGCAATGAAGGTGCAGTCACATGTTCATCTTCTCCATTTTGCTGCGAGCAAGCGCCTCGAGAAGGCACTCAACTGCACCGTCCGAACTGAGTGGCAAAATTGCCCCGACCTCTTACTGTGGATTCTATCCATTGGTGCGATATCGGCTGAGCCCTCGCCGGAAGCCGTCTGGTTCATCCATCAGACATCGCTCGCATGCGCGGAATTCGGTATATTATCGGCAGAGATGCTGCTTGAACGACTACATCTATGCGGCTGGGTCAGCTATAAGCTGGATAAAGCTGTGTGCCACCTATGGGAAAGGGTTGTTAATCTCAGGTTAGATGACCATAACATCCTGCCAATGCATTCGTTTGCTTATATATAATTTTGTCTTGTACGTAGGCTTGCGCCATATTTCGAGGCGCCCTTCAAAGCTGAAGACGCCAACAGCCCCATCGGACCTTTGCAACACCACGTCGCCGAGCCGGATCTGGATGCATGGGAAAGTATCGACTGGGCTACACTCAGTCTGGTCCACAACCACCCAACCGAGCAACAGACGGATGCATCTGATGCAGGAGAAGGACCCGCAACTGGGACACCGAATGAAACGTTCAATTTTGGAAGTGGCCATGGGTTTGCATGTACGTCTCACAATGTTGATATATGCTCAGAGAGTGCATACCTATCTCACAACGCTCATGATGGACGCTAACGGTCTCGGCGCATCGAAGGGTCTACACCTCAACAGCTGTACGCACACTGATTGAGCGAGTCGTATGAAAGTCACCAATAGGAGACGATGATTTTTTCGTACGGCAAAGAGTTTTTTTGTTACTGACGTCTGTGTGTCTATCGCACTGCAGACAACGAGTCAGATACTGTGCTTTGCTTCCGCCGTTGTAGCTAAAAAAAAGTCCAATGGTTCCTAACAGCATCAACAAGTCCCAGTAGTAACAGTACTACACTACCGATCTTGTAAACGCACCTGCAACATTGCGACAGGAAACGACTTGCATCTGGATTCGCATCCATTTCAACATAAAGATACACGAGCCGTAGAGAATTGAGGCTATCGGGGGCGACATCAAGATTCTCATTAGATTCTCGGGCAATAACAAGGAAGATGAATATGGACGGTGTTTTCAAGACATGGCACATTCTTTTGAATAAGTTCTGTCTATTATGTTTGCGGAGGTATCAAGCATATCGGTCTGTATACACGGACCAGAGGATACCCACATTTCTAAATACATGAGCTGTGGAAGACTTCAGGGGTCGACCCGAGCATGGAGAGGACCGCATTAGACTTTGAGGAGAAATGCTATCAGAGGTGGCATATGAAAGCCAAAGAAGTCGATACATGCCCATTAGGATATGGGGTTGGGATGTTCAAGTATATAACGTCTTTTGGGCGGTTTTTGTCAGAGATACCAGGAAAACATTCTAAGAATACTTTCGAAGCATTCTCTCCTCCATCTTCTCCGCTGCTGGCTCATCTTCACGAGGCACATCTTTCCCTTCCCAATGACGTCACTGAGGCGCTCTTCTGATGATAAGAAAGGACTAGCTCCCTCGTGACACCGCGATCCTGGGGAAATCGCGTCCGCTCCCGTGGCGACGCCGCTTTGGACTGATGGAGCCATTCAGCAGCTTGCTGCCACTCCAGATATGGCCCTTAACCCCCGAAGTCCTTCCGTTCACAATCAGATGATCACTCGGTTTATCAAACATCCGAAATCTACAAACTTTGACGGCGAACGAGACCAACCGACAAAGCGTCAAAAGGAAGGCAGCAGTCCGAAAAAGGCACCGCCTACGCCACGCAAAAGAGTGAAACGTGAGGTACCTGGTTCCGAGGATGAGGGCACCTACGTGGAAATCAAAGAAGAAGAGAAGGAACCCAAAACAGATCTGGAAAGCGCATTGCCAGATGTGAAAATAGACGACGATGCTATTAAGGAATATGAGGCATACAAAGCATTAGATGAGAACAAATCAAAAGAAACTAGTGAACGTCTGGAGAAGCGTGCATGGATCAGGGGCAAGAGCTCGCTTTATGTCGACGCCTTCAACTTGGCTCTGGACACTGTTCTAGATGAAGAAGGACACCTCTTCGATGAAGCAGAGACAGAAGTCTTTCGAATATGGCGGAGTTTGGGTTATGAGGTGCAGTACTTGTGAGTGGGAAAAGCATAAGGCGTCACGTTTTGGTTCTGATGTCGACTTGCAGATACGTACGGTTGTTCCTGCGAAAGACATCTGCCTGGCATCGATTAAAGAACCTTGGTTACCATGACGATATCTCAGATCTCGATGCGGCAGCCGAAACATTACAGCACACGTATGAACTGCCTGCATCCTCTTCTCAAGTCGAGTCGCATCCAGGCGAGTCGGAAGCACCGACTGGAATTGTACTAGGCACGTCGTTTACGTTCGCGGATCGATCCGAGGAGGAGATAAGCACACTTGAAGAGGCGTCATCGCTTCTGAAACTTGATGAACTTAAAGCTCTTGCAAAAGATGCTAAAGTCAAGGGAAAGAATAAGAGCGAGCTTTTGAAGGCCCTCCGACGTACAAGTCAGAAGCAAACTGGCTTAGGCTATGTCGGACTGAAGCGTTCAGATTCGGAAATGTCCAGAGCATCTTCCGTATCCCGGTCTCGGCCAGAAACACCAGATGTGGAGCTGGAACCTGAGGGTGAACTCTCAGATGACGCCAACCGTGATGCGCATTTTACGCGCAGAATCATGCAGGAGACTGGTTCGTGTATACGACTTTCTCTAGCACCTCTAAAGCTCTTTGAGCGCGTGCATCTTGTCTTTTACCGCTCGACAGAGTGGACAGAGAAGTCGCTAACAACCATCATCCTGGCCAAAATAGCACGTCGAAACTTCCCAGAGTACATTGTCTCTCGATCGGCGAACATATTCGCTTCGCGATCATTGTTGTTAGAGTACGAGGCATCCATCCGCACCCAACACAGGATAGACAATATCTTAGAATACAGTGGTAGGCCTACAGAGAAAGGCTACCAGGAAATTCTGGACACATTTGAGGAGATATACCCCCGCTGGCAAACCCTTGTCCAAGAAGAGCAACAAAAAGAAGATAGCGTCTATCACAGCGGGGAGGGCTCATATCTACGTCGCCTCTCTCCAGCTTGGGTATACACACGCATCATCCACAAAGCGCTCGATGTACTTAGACGCCGGAAAGAACACAAGCGCGAACACGAAATTGTAACCGAATTGTTGCACCAGCGCCTTTTCCATCACTCGCGGAGAGGTGCATGGTATCAACGCAAAGCGCTTCTCGAGGAGCACTACATGGCAGCGCTCACCGACCCAGGAAAGAGGAGCGTAGACAAGCAAAAGAGGCACTGGAAGCAGATTGCACTGCAGACGTGTGAAGATGGCTTGCAGGATAACCTCGTACATGTCATCCACCACTATGACCTCCAGAAGCGCATCACAAAACTCGAGTTGTCTCTCAATTTTGCCAAACGACTCCAGCATGACTTTTCCCACGTGCGCTTGACAAAGCCAGTAGAGGTTACTATGGAGGGAACCCGCATCGAGCGTGAAACCTCTGTATCGTCAAGACGAAGCAACTCTCCACATCCTAACTCTGGCAGACGCGGCGGGAAAACCATCTGGATTGACCCACGTGAGGATGGCGAATGCTCAGTCGAAGCAATGTGCCTATCGCACTACCGCAACCAAGGCTGGAAAGGGTTCCATAGTGAAGGCGGCATCATACGCACTCTCTTTGCCTACCTCTTCTATGACGTCCTCTTTACCTATGTCCCTAACGTCTTCCAGACACCGTACCAGACCTGCCCGTTGGACTTGCACACCGACGCCTTCTACCCCTCGCGTATCTCAGAGATCAATTCCCGCCTGAATGAGATTTCAAACGGTAGCGCGCCGGGTATCATCCAGAGAATCTACAACGACCATCACGAACGACGGACTTGTGTTGTCGGGCTCGACTGGACATATGACGTGAAAGATCTTGTGGAGATTGCGCAATGCTTTGACGGCGAGGCGCTGGCCACAATATGTAAAGTCATGGCTCAAGAATATGGGCAGAGGGGCGGTGGCGTCCCGGATCTTTTTCTCTGGAGAGTCGAGCAAGAGGGGCAAAAGGAAATCAAGGGCGAGGTCAAGTTTGCAGAGGTCAAGAGCGAGAACGATCGGTTGAGTGATACGCAGAGGCTTTGGATACATGTGCTTTCTGGTGCGGGTGTGAGGGTTGAACTTTGTGCGGCGGTGGCGAAGGAGGTCAAGGCCGTGTGAGATCGCGTACACCGATGAGCAGACAATCGCTCAAGTAACACAGGACTCACTGCCTTTCTTGGGCCCTGGCTGTAGTCAGCTTCAGTACGCTGAAGTTGGGTACAACGTACAAAATCTCTGGGACGTGGATGTTGGGTAATGGATTCATTGGCTAACTACGATTACACGGAGCGACGTACATTCATCTTAAGTATTAGTAGGTGACCTGGCCCAGCCACCACCAATTGAGGTTCATCCAAGTTTGATCTTCAGTTCAACAGCGGGAGACGCCATGACTTGGTTAGACTTGTTGGCGGCTTGGGAGGCACAGGGTCGTCGAAAGTGGGCATGTCCATGTTGACCCAGGCATGGAACCACAACGGGAAAAAATCATGAACAAATTCCCTTGCCGCTTTCCTTGTTCTCGCATCCGGCTGACCCAGCAAGTATGCAAGTTGATCGTATGAAAGCCAATTGTGTGCGTGTGTGCACGTATAGTCCCTGCACGTTTTGCCCATGAACATGTCTTTACAAAGCCCCAGGTTGCAGGACTTCGTAGCGCCATACTTCCAGGGGAAGATATACACTGAGGCACTGTCGTCCCAAGCACTGCCAAATCCGTATGGTATCAAGGGGGGCTCGGCGTTGCTGTCATACTCCATTGCGAGAAGCCCTTTCAACTCATCCTGCATATGCTTGTAGATCTCTGCCGGTGTCTTTGACATAGGGACCACATGCGGCGTTGTGGCAGCCTGCTCGTCATGATCTTTTTCGGATATAGTGGCGGCAACAGGCGTCTGGCTTTGCGGTGAGGATGACCTAGTTTCAGAAGCCTCCGTTGCTATTCGAGCAGCTCTCTTCGCAACTATCTCTTCGAAGATAGAACGAAGTCTGCTCTCGAGTTGGCGACTCAAGTAGTCGTCTACTGCCTGAGTGGAGGGCAGCGTCTCAGGTCTGTGCTGTAGGGGCCCAACCTCACGGGAGAAGGAGCTATCCTCGTGGGTGCGAGTATGTCCAGACTCATATCTGCTTGGAAGTATACGGCGGGGCGAGTGATCATGCTCACGGGCATAACGATCTCTCCCACGGGTGTAAAAATCTTCCTCATAGTAAGAAGGATCTCGAGGATCCTGTCTAGCTGATGAGATACGTCGAGGTGGGTAGTCTCCACCGCCGTTACTTTCCGTGAAAGAATAATCGCTTCGATTAGGTGCACGTATTCTCTGAGAATACTCCACATATCTATCATGTGGAGTAGGCGAGCGGGGAAACCTGCCTCGGAGGTGGTGATAATAATCACGCTGATCGTGAGTTGCGTCCCTATATTGGAAATGTCCTTCGTAACGTTAAACCTCATTACTCGGTAAATACAGGGGAAGACTTACCATGCTGTGCGTAGCGCCACGGAGAGTAGTTGCCCGAAGGCACGTCCCAGTACTGGGAATTTTCTGAAGGGGATTAGTCACCAGCGCTTGAAAATCATAGAGGAAGACTCACCATGCGACTCATGAGACCAGGTAGATCTATAGGACTGAGACGGCCTATTCGGCAGGGATTCGTAGCGCGAAGGCGCGTGGCGCTGACGGTCAGAGGATCGGTGACTATACATGATGATAATCACACTATGCCTTGTTAATACTGGAACAGAAAGATTGATTTTGGTCATATACCGAAAATTTGTTTTATTGCTTGTGAGAAGACAGAAAACGAGGGGGAAATTTTGGGAAAGAGCAGTTGCCGCACTAACTAGAAACAGATTTGCAGACAGTGAAAGTGATAGGTTACTACGTCACCGGTCTACTGGAAGAATAACGACGGCTTTGCACACGACACCCTGTGTTTTCAACAAGCATCACAAACAGGATCAGGCTACATAGTATTATGAAAGATTTGTCATTCTATTAGAGCAAAGTAAAATCATGCTGATTTTGAGATTAACTCTACACGTGATGAGGAAGTCCACCATCACCACTATCTATCAGAAGTCTCTGCGACGTGCAAAGTACGTCTCCATCTCAGCGACTTCAATAGGCTACTTCAAGCCGTTTCTTTCATTACTAGGATATTGACCCCTTCGTCTCGGCGGAGACCTACGGGAAGCCTGATCGCGATTGATTCGATCGTTGCGTTGTTGCGCCAAAGTTCCACGGTTTTCCATGCGTCCGTATTCAGAGCCTCTGTTCGGTTTCTCTGGCCAGCGAGGTTCTGGAGAATACTCCCATTTTATGCACGTAGCCAGAGATGACTGTTGTTCCATAGCTGCGTATACTACCGCTTTTGATGTTGATTGCAGCCGTTGTTCATTGAGGAGTCTTGTTCCTGCGCCAATGGTTGTCCATGGCACCCGCTCTTGCCCATGTGGTACAGGTAGCATTTTATCAGACATCGGTCGACCGCTCTGGCTTGAGCGATGTTGTTGTCGATGATATACAGAGCGTCGATTCATGCTGGAGTTGTCTTGATATGAACTGTCGACCGGAAAGGGCCTGCCGTCACCTCTGGTTGGGTGAGGTGGACTTTGTTGTTGCGTGGGACGATATAAGCCTGAATTAGCGCTGAAACGGTCTCTATGCTCGTCATACTGGTTGCCTAATTGGCTGGAACGGTCCCCTTGCCGTCTCGGGTTGCTAGAATAGGGCGACGTATCTTCCCTGTACTCAGAGCGGCTAGGAGAAAACCCGCCATATTGACGTATAGGAGGTCTAGAAGGAAACTGATTTTCGCGATTCATTTCAGTGAGAGCTCTCAGTTCTGTGACTTCATATGACAGTCTTGCGATTTTTTCCCTCATTCGGGACAGTTCATGGAACAATTCATCTTTTAGTTCGCGGAACAGTGCGTCTTTCAGTTCACGGAACAGTTCATCTTTCAGTTCGACATGTTTGTCACTGCCAACGACGAACGGCCGTCGAGTTGGCCGTTCACTTGATTCGTCACCATCTTCGTGTTGACGCTTCTCGCCTCGGTTCAGTTCTTGAATCTTCAATTTTCGTGGCATCAATACTGGCTGCATCATGTTCGCCCCATCCGGCACCACTATATTACGACCCTCACGAGCGCGTGGAAAGTCGAGGAATATTGGGTTCTCAAGTGCAAGGAATGCTTGCTCCTCTTTTGTAGGCTGAATCTGGACGTTGACGGGGACCCAGTCGCTTGATCTTTCACCGCTCGCGGGATCAGTGATTACGAGTTTGGACTTCCAGAAGGACACACTGGCGTATATCCACGGACACTCCTGCAATAAAGTTGGTACTAGCTTTAAAGCCTCTTGGAAGCATAAGCTCCAGGTCCTGGTAGAGGCACTTACTAGATCAGGGTGGATATCGTCTGCGCGGCAACCGCACCACTGGCAAAAACAGATATCTTTGGGGTGCTGGCCAGTTGGTACTCCACACCGCAAACATAAAGTGGTACGGTTCGAATTTCGAGCCATATGCAATAGCTTTGTGCGGTACTTGAGTTCGTCATCAAAGTTGATGAAATCTTTTGGCGGGAGATATCGCTCCACTGGAAACCGGAGTCCATCTAATGCGGTCAGCATCGCTCAATTCAGATTGTGTGAGAAATCATACTTTGGCCTTTGGCAGGCAAGCGCTCATAGGCGCCTTCAGCTTTGATCAAATGTATGTCTGCAGGCATACTGTCTTAATGGTAACGACAAGTTTGATTTTGCGGTATGGAGGAGGCAAAGTGGGCAACCGTGCTAGGCGGGAGACGTAAAAACAGTGTACAAACGCACTCACGCGCGCACAGACCTTGGCCTTCAGTGACCGGCCAGGTCAGGCATTCACCGTTCACCTTAATGATTCGACTGACGTTACCTTGGAAAGATCGATATCTAACTGGTAGGTCGGGCATGCCCTTTTTCTTTGTGCAATTAGCTGTTAAGGCAAAGAAGGGATAGACAGTATGTGGATATTGTAAAGACTAGAAATCAACAACTGAAAAGATGAATTCCAAGAGAACCTATACATGATCATTTGCTTACTCCCACTACATGAACTCGTGCGGCAATACAACGTGAAGGATACTCACTCACATAGTCTGTACATAGTCAAACAAGGTGTAGTGTAGATGACCAGTTTTGTTCTATTTCTGCCTTCCTCATTACGGTTGACAGCTAGGACAACATCGGCCTTTCCTTAAGCTCCATGATCTTTTTTTAATATTCCAGGTACATAGATGAATTTTAGACCACTTCACAACTTTGCAGGTTTTTCAAATGCAAACAGTGACCTTCCTTTCTTCGCCGTATCTTGCCACACCCACCCACTCTTGCCCACAATCTCTCCTGTACCACTGGCCATGCATCTCAGCGTACTCTCATCGCCATGGTTCGCCAAGAAACGCTTGTTATTGCTTCTCAGCCTCCCCACGACATAACCCCTCAGCGGGCTCCCGTCTCGACCAAACTCGACAGTGTACGTTTCTACAACTGCCTCTCCTTGGGCATCCACCGCAATCTCTGGTACAGGAACATCGGTGATTGTCTCCGGCAGCGGGTTTTCCGTTGGATACTGGCCATCTTCCCGAGGATTCCTTCCAAGGATGACAACGTACTGATAGCTCAGCACACCTCCATTACACAATACCATTGCGTTTTTACTCTTTCCATCTCTCAGCTGCCTCGTGATTTCCGTAAGAGCATGCATCGAATAATTGTTCCCCGCTCCACCAAACGACGTCAACCCGCCCAACACAGTCAGTGACTTTTTACCTCCTACAATCGGCAATCCGAGATGCTGGGCTGCGATCTTGGGTACGATCGGAAAACAAGAGTATATATCGAAGAGATCGATGTCTTCTTTCGCTGTACCTGAAACGCGCAGACTGGCGTCGATAGAACGTGAGATGCTTGGTGACGAGTAGAAATTGGGTCGTTGCCAGAACTCATCTGCGTCGCGGGTTCCCGCACCACCGAGGGGGTAAATCCATTTTGAAGGAGGTACTCCGAGACGGGTAGCATGAGAGGTGGAAGTAACGAGGACGGCAGCGGCAAGGTTGACGGTGTTGAAGGCATTCATGAGCAGAGGGTCTGTAGGAGTCAGCAATTTGTAAAATATGAACCACATACACAGCAACCATTGGTATTGTGGTAGCGCTGTGTCACGAGGAAAGAGCGGGCGACGGGAGAACGAGCCAAGAAGGAGTAGAGGACGTACAAGGATAACAAATCATTCTGTTCTTTCCTCCAACTCTTGCAATCTCCTCTTCGCTCGTTTTCTGTCCATAGTTCCATGCTATCTCGTTCTTTTCTGCCACACGTGCAAATTCCGCATACAACCTCGCATTCTCTTCGTGATTCGCCTGGAGCGACTGACCACGATGAGCACGGAACCCGTTTTCGTACAAAGGGTAAACGTGTATCGGAGCACCAATCTTATGTATTGCGCCAAGATCTTCAAACTGTCAGTTGATGAGAGGGGCTGTTGGATGGAGGGCAATACTGTTTCCTAGATCCCGACCAGTGGGCGTAAAGACTGAATCTACTGCCGAAGAAGGGAGCGTCCAGCCCGGCGGAGGCAATTTCTTGGCTGCTGCACATGCAGATACTAACAAGAGCAAGAAAAGGGTTGTCAGTGAGTTCTCCAAAGTGTTCTTTCGCCACATATACCTAAGAAGTTAATGTAGATGGATGAAAGAAAAGGTCTTACGCACAGGAAGCCAATGCCTCTCCTCCCGTCACAACAGCAACCTCACACTCGCCTTTTGCAATCCTCCTCGCAGCCTCATCTAAGAATTTTCCGGGTTTATCGCCTCCATGCTCGGAATATCGTTTCCACTTCAGACTCGCTTGCACGCCCAGCTTCGTTGCTAATAGACCCGGTAAATCCGGATATGGCCACGTCCATGTTTTGACTACATCGATACTATCGATTGCAGCCTGCAGCTCCGAGATAGAATTAGGACTCGCGTCGGAGAGGGCAACTTGTATAGCTTCGAGCATTAATATTGCGGGTTCCTTGGCATCGGATACAGCTGTAGAGCGATTCTTGATATCGCCTACACCAATGATAACGGGGGTATTGTGTGGCACCATCGTGGCATATGAAAACAAGTACGAATGCAAATTTGAAGTTACACTTCTGCAATGTATTGTTTTATCATGTTATTTTGTTGTTGTCGCGACCTGGCTGTATTTAACGGCGATATTGGACGTGTGTCTGTGAGGAGTAGGGACAGGTTGCCGAGGTAATCCGGGGTAACGTTGAATGCTCGTGCGTGTCAGGATGCAGAAACCTTAAAACCACAACACCATCACCAGCGACTAGGAACGAGATGTTCCACGGCCAGAAAGCTCGTACTAACCTTGATTTCGATGGAAAATAGTCTAGTTGTAAACAATAGCTAACTCTGTTTAGACTAATCCCTGAAGAGCAAAGGAGAAGAAAAATACAAGAGATGTCGGCAGAATATGCTAAAGAAGGGCATAACGATCAATGAGATACAACCCGAAAAGCGAAACAGGGTATGTATTTTCAATAACCATGCCAGGCTTGGTAGACGTTACTGAGATATAACGTTACCCAGTCACCAAAAAAGAGCAAAAAAAGGAGAATTTCCGACACCGGGAATCGAACCCGGGCCTTGCCGGCACTGAACAGTGAACTGACTCTGCAGATGAGAGCGGCAAATCCTAGCCACTAGACCATATCGGATATTGATGGAAGATTTGAAAAGTAGTCGAATTATCATCGAAGAGATTTTCCACATGGTAAAGCCTCGAGCTAATATAATCGGGCGCAGAACTAATCCATCGTCGACATTTCCCACATGTAGGCAGGCAAACACATGGACAAGATGACTATTTATTTTCCCTTATCTTACAACATGGGGGGCCGTTAGACGTGAGATGAGAACTACAACAGAGACAATATCCATGATGGTCTTCCGCACCATGAACGAAGAAAAAGAATGGGAACCATGCACTAGCCCAACCTGGGTTCAAGACAAAGGCTGAATCGAAAACGGGTAAATATAGCAATTGCCCCCTTTTGTTCCAAAACTCTTGTTTTGCCTCTTCTTTTCCTCTCTCTGTCTCTCAGGTCCAAATAGAACATAAATCACCCCCCCCCCAATCAGAGTTACATAGTAGCAAACGGGGCTTGTTATCAGCAGCCCTTCCCCCTTCAAAAAAAACACGTGTAATGCTTCGGAAAAAAATCAGCAATAACAAAAAGAAAAAAACACCGACCATGTGGGATAGAAAAGAAAGAGCTACTAAGATTACAACGCTTATGGTCTCGATATATCCAGCATGCAAAAAAGAATTCTCATATTGCAAACACAGAGAGACCTCTTTCAACGCTCCAAAAAGTTGGCTGAACATGCCGAAACTAGCTGCATCTGAATTTTGCGTCCAAAGGTTGTGCTGTACATGCAGCGTGAAAGACGCGTAACTTTCGACAAAAAAAAGAATCAGTCGTTTTCCTAAAACTTAAACGTACTCTTTTTTCGCCCTATGCTGAAGCGATTCTTGCCAGCTGTGTCGGTATCTGTTGTGGGGGTGTCCGGTAGAGGAGGCTCGTCTGAATGGCCATCTTTATCCTTGTGCCCAGACCAGAATTTCGGCTTGGTTCTGAGGCTCATGGACGTGTGTCTGAAGCGACTCAATCCACTCATACCCTTGACGCTACCGAAGCCGTTTGCATGCTTATCCTTTTCAGGATTCGGGGTTGGGGGTGACCCTGGAGGTGGGGCTGCCTCACCACTAGCAACGCGCTTCTTCTCCTCTTCTGCAGCAGACGCTTTGCTAGCCTCCAAGACAGCCTTGAGTTCTTCTTCTTGCTTGCGATAATTCTCCCGCCTTTGCATTTCCATCTCCTTGCGCTTCTGCTTTGCCTGCTTTTCAAGCTCCTTTTCTTGCGCCTTGCGCTCCTTGTCTTCCTTTCCTTTTCCAAAAAGGCCAAGGTTGCTCTTGCGCGGAGCTAGAGTGGGGATATGAGATGTGGTATGTTCAACCGGGGGATTGTCGGTACTCGCCTCGACGTGGGCGAGGGGCGGTGCGGTGGCGGCATGTGCAAGACTGGTAAACTTGTCGGCCTCTTCGACCGAGGGCGTTGTTGCATTGTGAAAGGCGTGGAATGGTGTTCCATTTGTGCCGTTTGTGCCATTCTGTTTTGGTGTGGTGACCTCTTCTTGGGCCATCTTGGCGGCCTGCTCTGCTGCAGCCAATGCGTCGGCTTCCTGCTCCTTCATCATGGCCTCCTCTGTTGTTTCTTGGTAGAACAAGACATATGCGCATGCCAAGACGTTTTCTCCGCCGAAAAAGTTTCTGACATATGCCTTGTCTACCGGCTCAACCATCTCATCGTCGAACAGCAGCCAGCCCCGGTCTTGTGTTTTGATGATGGACACATAGTGGCCGTGATATGGTCCACCTCCGATGTGCACGACTACTGCGTATAGTTCGTATAGCCTGTCTGGGTCTTCGGCGTCATCCGTGGTGTTGAATAGGCGAAGGTAGAAGGGGTAGACGACGCGATGAAACAGTTTCTGTAACCGCTGCAGATCTTCGGTATACTTGAAGCGCTTCAGATGCAGGGCAAGAATCTTGGGTAGCCGCTTAATCTTCATGCGCTTCTCTGCCTCTTGTAGACCTCCGCAGTTGTCGCAGTGGAACTTGTTCCGCTCGCACA